CGCGCGGAGGGAGGCGAAGCCCGCAGCAGCCACTTCCCAACTTTCCAAACTTCCCAGCGCAACTTTTTCCTCTCCTCCCCAGCCCGCGCCTCCTCCTCCCTCCTCCCTCCTCCTTCCCCTTGCCAGCTCCCTGCCGGGCCGGAGCTTCCGTGCGCCGCCGCCAGAGGGCGCCCGGGCCGAGGTCCTGTTTGGCCAACCTCGCAAGCTCAGTGGTGGACACAGACCCAGTAGGAGAGTGCTACAAATTTGTGGATGGGACAAGGGCCAGTCTCTCACAACGTGTTCGCTGATTCTGGCGGGAGTGAACGGCCAGAGGGGCAGCAGTTGGACGAGCCCTTGTAACTAACTTAAAATGTAGCAGTCACAGGAAATCCAGAAGATGGAGGTTTACAACTTTTTATCATGACGCTGTGCCTAACACTGGCACGTGCTTCCTAGTTGCCCTGCAAACACTAACTGAATTACAATGAAATTTATAAAAGGAACAGAACAAAATCATCCTCCAAATTTCTTGGAAGCTTCCATTTAGGCAGTCATCTCCCATCTATTTCTCTGAGTCGCAGAGATCCTCGTGTGAGGTTCTGAAAGGGAAAGGCTCTGTATCCCAGGTTCTCAGGCATTCCTCTAGGAATTCAAAGAGCCTTCAAAACCAACTCCCTCTGGCTTCTCGGGAAGAAAATGCGGGCTTAGAGAAGGCCACAGGGTAAAGCCAAAATTTCTGGACCATGTCTACAAAATGAGGAAACTGAGCCACAGCACACTACTTAGTTCTATTAACACAAGAGTTTACTGACTCTTCTATCCTGTCATCATAGATTAAAGAATGGATCTGATGATATTGTTGCAAGCCAACTGCTGAGAAAGGAAGACAGGGACAGATATGCAAGGAGGCAATTAAAATGCAGATAATAGTGCCAGAAAACACAGAAGCACAAGGAAATGGGAACAGAGAGAAAGGGTTATTTCTAAATATTTCTAAATCTTTCTAAAATATTTCTAAAATGGTGGTAATTGCACAATGACAGCCCAGATACCCAAAAATGAGAGTCTTGAAAGATAGAGGTAGCTGAGAGAAAGAGGTGCACTAAATCTTCCAAGTGGAGGAGGAGCAGGTGCCAGGGTGTCCTGGTGTGAGTGAACAGGTGCATGCAAGGCATTGCTAACAGATAGGTGAGGCTGGAGCAGAAGCAGTGGCCGATAAGGCTGTATCCTCCAGTCAGGACTCAAAAGAGTACCCTTTGTATGTACAGGGTAATGGAAGTCACTGCGAGATTTGAAGTCAAGGGTAATGGAGCACCTTTGTTCTTATAGGGGCTTGCGATTGGAGGGAGCAGGATGGGGGCCAGGAGCTGGTTGAGGAAGAAGGCAAAGAATGAGGAGCCAGGGCCTGAGCTCATGCGTCCAGACTCCCAGCTCAGTGCTCTCCCTTTTCTCCACTCATGTCTCTGGGCACCAGATTGAGCATCTGAAGAATGACCATGCTAGAAGATTGGGTGAGGAACCTGCTGGGCTGGATGGACAGAAAGGTTTCATAGAGCCCAGGATCTGTGCCACTGAGAGGAACACCCAGAAGAAAAGGAAGGGGGCACTTCAGATTAGCAGGTTAAATCACATGAGCCATATGAAATCACCACTCTTATAGTCCAGAAACTGATTAATGTTGGCAATTTCATATGGTTCGACTTACTAGGTGCCTGGAGCAACCTCTGCCTCTCAGCATCTTAGCCACACACATACTTGGTGACAGATAGTGAGCAGACCAGAGTGCCCAGACAGTATGGTACCACAGCCACTGGACAGATACATGTTTCCCATACACAGCACTCTGAGAGCTGCAGCTGCAACACAAGAGAAGTCCTTGAAAAAAACTCTAAAACTCCCTACAAAGTCATCAGTCCCCTTCGTAAGGACAAGGTGAATTTGGGGGGGGGGGAGGACTTAATTCAACCAAAAGGGAAGCCATGGTCTTCACTGGAGAATTAGAAGACACAAGGCAGAGAGTGAATAAGCAAGAACCTGATCAAGTTAAAAGTGGTGGTGTGTGAATACATGTTGGCATTTTAAAATTCTACTTATTTTAAACAAAAGTTCCCTGGCATCTTTTTTTTTTTCCTAAAGTTATAAACATTGTGGTGGCAGATTATCACAAGTGCTAGATGTAACTCCCTCCTCCACGACCTCACGTAGTTAGTGGCTCTAACCAGAGGTAGAACAATTAACCTCTCTGTGCCTCTCTTTCTACAGCCAGCTTCTTATCCTCCACGATTTTTCTAGAGCCAATGCATACATGCTTTTAGGCTCTTCATCAGTATGGATATTGATGTTATCAATGAGGTGAAAGAACAAGTGAGTTTTTTAATCTGAGAGAGTTGAAAACATCCATTCATACAAACACCTGAACGTAAATGTTCCTAGCAGCACCGTTCCCAATAGGCAAAGGATGGAAAGGACCCATGTGTCCATCAATTGATGTATGGAAAAACCAGATATGATATATCAAGACATCATATTGTACACTTCAAATATATACAATATTTAATGAGGTAGATCTATATGATGGAATATTATTAGGCTACAGAATGAAAGGGTGTCCTGGTACATGCTGTTACATGGGTCAATCTCAAAAACACTATGCTAAATAAGCCAGTCACAAGAGGATATATATCACATGAGTCCATTTCTATGAAATATCCAGAATAGGCAAATATACAGAGGCAGAAAGTAGATTACTGATTGCCTAGAGTGAGCTAGGAGGAATGGGGAGATTGAAAAGCATAGATTAAGGGCATTGGGTTTCTTTTTGAGTAGTGAAAATATTTCTAAAATGGTGATGATTGCACAATTCTGAATAAACAACAACAACCAAACTTTATATAGTAAGTTGTATGGTATGTCAATTATGTTTCCATAAACTAGTATTTAAAAAAAAAAAAAGACCAAACAATCTTGGTGCCCCAAGAGAGTACTCTTTCAGGACCACGAATCTTAGTGTTTTCAAACAAGCTTCCTCCCACCTGTTAGTGTAAAAAGCCCTGAATGATGACAAGTCCTAAGTCCTGGAGACTGGGCAGCATGGGTCATTCTGTCCCTTCTGGACCTGAGTGTGAGCTGAGACGCTTTATCATCAGTGTGAACAAGCTTGTGGGGTAGATAACCTTTAAGGGCCTCAAACCCAACCCTAGAGCTCCAAGTTCAGTAGCTATAGCCAAGGGCTTTAGACAGGATGTGAAAGGCCTGGGCTCAAGAGGGGCCTGTGGACTCAGATTCCTGACTCTTTTCCCTGGGGGCACATCCGGCCTACTTTTCCTTTTATTGCATTTTAATTGCATTGTTCAATCAGATTGGTACCAGGAATCTGTAAGCTATAACAGCCAGGGCAGGGGCAGAAGCCTTGTAGCGTAACTAAACCAACAAAGTCTGCCTCCTGAACAGATTCTGGAGCCCTTGCTGCTGAAGGGCATCCCTTGCAGGGAGGGAGATGAAGGACTCTTCTACTTGTGATGGCCTGAGGGAGAAGATTTGCCTGAGGGCTACCCTCTTGTGGGTCCATTGTGCTGGGACCATTGATCACTCTGGCATTTTCAAGTGGGTGTGGTCCAACTTCCAGCTCTGACTCCTCTCCCAGTCATGCCTCCTCCCACGCAGCCCCAGGATGTCTTCCCTATCCTTGGTTGGAAATTGATTCTTGATGATTGAAGGACAGGATTGCCTTGGGGAGAGGGGAGAAAGGAAGCTAACTCCAAGGCCAGGCAGAGGTCAGCAGTGCTTTAGACAGTCAGGAGTGAGGGAGAACTCCAGAAAAAAGTGTAGACACTGAGATGATTCAGAAAAGGGCATTCCTCCCGGGAGCCAGGGAATATACACTTGGTTACAGAGGTGCAAACAGGAATTAGAGTTACCTATGTAAGATGGCATTCATTAAAAACAAAATCCCACAGTGGCCCAGCACTGTAGAGGAGTGGAGGGTAGCGATCAGCCCAGGATTTTGTCCTCAGAGAATTTGCAATCCAGTTGAGAGGACAAAGATGCAAACAAACATTTTGGAAAACGTGGGGGGGGGGGGAGGCGGGGAGAACAACTAAGTCAGCCTTAGGAGAGAGGAGATAGGCAAAGGTCTTTAAGGATGAGTAGTAGTTGGACATGGAGAAAAGAGAAGTCATTCCAGGCAGTGGGAACAGCATGTGCAAAGGTATGAAAGTCTAAGTATTTGATCTATTTAGGGAACTGCAATCAAAGAACTAGAATTTAGGAGAACCATTGGGGATGGTCAGAAATAAGACTGCACCAGAAATGTCTCTGCATGATCTTCAGAGGAGCTAGCTTGGTTTGCATACATTGTGGGTGCTGCTTGAGGGTGGCTAGCATGACAGGTTCCAGATGGGATGTGTGCACTGCCAGATGTACGCAGCCTTCAGGGATATAACAGCAATGATATGCATTGCCTATATTAATTCACCAATATTTATGGAGTCCCTATAAGTACTGTAGTATATTACCACAAATGAATAGAAGATCTGCCCTCTGGTTAATAGCAACTCTGAACAAGGCAAAAAATATGTAGGTGGCAAATTTAAAATGCATGTGAATGAATATGGCTGCAATGAACTT